CTCCCTACCAGTCAGGCCCATACCCCCACCACCCCATGGGGCCCATGGGACAAGGGGGCCCCCCACCCCAGCAGTACCCCGGAGCGGGACCCCAGCAGCCCGGCGGCCACTACCCTGGCTACATGAACCAGCCAGGCCAGTACCCGCCCCACTCGGGGGCCGCCCAGGGCCAGTACCCCGGCATGGGACAGCAGCCTCAGCAAGGGTACCCGCCCTACAGCGGAGGGCCCCAGGGGGCGCCCCACTATCCTGGCCAGCCCCCCATGGCGCCCCAGCCCTACCCCGGCCAGTACCCGCCGCACCAACAGGGAGCCCCAGGGGCTGCACCCCCGCAGGGAGCCCCCAACATGGCGGCAGGAGGACCCCGCCCCCCCATGCAACAGGCGGCAAATGCCACGGGTAAGTTTTCACCCCAGTGTGGGTGTCTGTGTGTGGGTTTTATTGTGAGTGAGTGTTTGTGTTGCTGTGAGTGTGTGTATGTGTGTGTGTCGCTGTGAGTGTACATGTGTTTGTGTGTGTGTGTGTGTCGCTGTCAGTGTACATGTGTGTGTGTATGAGCCTCTGAGGGCACTCCTAAAGTCACACACATTTATTTTTGATCCATCTCTGAATAGTTTTTTGCTGGTAGAATTTAGTGCGATTTAGGAAATTAAAAAGGTTTCAAAGGGGGGGTTGGGGTGTGTGATTATATTACACCTCACTTATTGTGTGGATTGACTATTGTATTGTGTAGATTTTGCACGTATATTATCCTGTAGGTATATTTGTGTTGTCTCTTGAGTAGTGTGTGGATGTATATTGAACAGTACATGGTTATGACTTCCTTGTAAAGATGTTCTCTGTCTTTATTGTTGAGTGCTTGGAATGTTTATTGATCCGAATCACTGACTTGACTGAAAGTTGATCTTTCTATTTTATCCTAGTTAAGAATTGCACTTCGATTTTTAAGTAGCTGGGTTTGGGTTTTTTTTTGGTTTTTAATTAGGATGAGACTCTATTCTGGCATGAAGTGATCATAACTGGCATGTATTTAGAAATGGTAGTTGAATAGGTCATGTACATAGTCACCATCCCTTAATAAATATGAACAATTCCATTTTTTAAAATAACTTACCATGTAGAGCAGATTTAATTAAATAAAATTATTCATGTCCTTTTGACAGAGGCCCTATTCTATTTTTTACTAGGTGTATGTCAATAATAATTATTATTATTATTGTGCTCTTAGAAATGTCAATGAGACACATTGATAGCAAGTACAAAATGAAAGACTAAGAATTTTTTCTAAAAGATAGCTCGCTAAAAGAAAGAAAAGAGACCAACCCTATTGATTGGTGTCTTTGTCTTGTTGATTGCTTGTTGTATTTGGAAAGATGTACATGTACACACCCGCCCACAACCGCACCACCCTCTCCCATTTCTCCCATGTGTCAAGTTGTATCTGTGTGAGGCCACCAGCCATTTGGTTCCTTCCCCTCCATCCCAGTTTTGCCTTGTACTTTGTGTTCTTGACAACCCTTCCCACTGCCAGCTCTACAGTACTGTAGTTTACCATATGAATAACAGCATCATAGGTACTTTATCATGCAGATTAGGATTTTTAGATGTACAGTATTATATTATTATTTAGTGACTGTTGTTGCATAAAAGAAGACCATTTTTTATGATTTTTGTTTTTAAGTAAACACTTAGATCTTTTGCTTTACGTTTTTATACTTCCCGTAGAGGGCTCTAGTGGCCTAGAGATTAAGGTATTGGCCTCTCATTCAAAAGTCTCGGGTTTGAATCCGTGTAGCGACAGAAAAATGTTCTTCCCTAAAATTGTCTCCTTTCTTCACCTCCTTCCCAGCTCTCTAGCTATGTTCTTTCGTCTGCTTTCGTCTCCTCTTTCTGCCCCACCCCCTCACCTCCTTTGCCCCTTCCTCTGGGCTCCTGACTCTTTCTGCAGCCTTCCTACTGCTTCTCCTTGACTCATTCTTACAGCTGTCTTTCAGCCACACCCCTGTTCCTTTGATAGGAAAGATCTAGTCCTTGCCTTCACGGACAAGGGTGAAAAAATCTTGGAAGGCCTGTGTGCAAATTGCGCACGTTAAAGATCCCTTGGTGGTCTAAAATAAAATCAATAAGAGTAGGCTTCGACCACCACCCGAGCAAAGTTCAAAATTTCCTATCAACTGAAAAAGTTTAATGGGACCCGAGCGCTCATAATACCTTATGCAATTGCGAGCGCCGTAAAACACTTTATTTAGAAAGAAGAGTTGTTTGAGGAAAAAAGAATTGATTTGTTCGGCTGGTGAATTGTAAGAGAGATGTTCCGATAGGTGGTTGGCGGGTGCTATGCAGTAGTTTGCTTCTACTTTCCTATCAAGCATCTATCGTCCTGAACTCTCGTCCTCCTTTTTCGTGTTTGTTTCTCTTGTAACACTCACTAATCTTCGGCACTTATATGACTTTATTGTGTTGCAAGTGCTATAAAACGCTATAAACTAAATACAAAATGTGCCCATGTAGATATTTGTGAGAGAAACTGACGTTGTTCTGTTGTGTGTGTTGCTTTAGGTGCAGGAGGCCAAGGGGAGTCCCAGGAGCAGCCGATGATGACCTCCCCGGCCCCACCCCCGGCCAGCAAGTAGAGGAGCAGCAGCAGGACGTCAGCGACCACCCTCCTACTTACACTCCACACCATCAAGCCGTCACCTGAGCCTAGGACTGACTGGAGCAGGCAGAGCGGGACACGACCCAGTGCACTGCTGTTTGAATTGGAAAAAACCATGTACTGGGTTCTAGCAAATTCATGTTTTATCATACTTTGGAAAACAAGTTTAAAAAAAATAAAAAAATTTGGGCTAAGATTCAGTTGAAATTGTCCATTCTGAACATGGTTTGTGTATTTGTTTAATATACAAGATATTCAAAGGTATATAATTTATAGGGAGCGAAGTAGGTGGGAGTGGTTGGAGGAGGAGGTGGAGATCTGTATTGACCAAAGTGTCTGTGCAAGTCACTGACATTTGAATGAAGAACGGTCGTGTTGGGTGTACGATGTGCTCAAGTGAAGTAGATGGTGTCCAGTAGAAGAATTTGTGGGCTGACCGACCACGAGGATGGTGGAGTGAAATGATTTTTGTGGAACAAGGGAGGGGAGGAAGGCGTGTAGGTTTTGGAATAGAGGGACAGAGTAGAGTGGTTGAGGTTGTACGAGTGATGAAATGAGTGATGGAAGGAAGTGTTTGTGAGGAGAAGTTAGTGGTGAGTGGAGTAATCCTCAAGTCCCAGGATATGATTACAGAAAAAAAATGCACTCTCTCTGTTTCTCTCTCTCCGTTCTAGTGAGACAGAGGTCAATTTATCAGGTAGAACTGTGTTCTAAATGAAGGGAGCGTCATTGTTTTTTTCAAACCTGGCAAGGAGTGAGTGGAACCCATGTGGGAGACCACGGTCTAGACTCGATTGTGTATTTGTAGATAAATACTTTGAATACAGTACAGCATCCATTTCTTTTTTCCATGTTGTTGCCTATTGTCTTACTTTTATTTTTCTAGGAACCCCGACTGACTGAGTGACACCTCAGGGAAACGGGGAAGGCAAATTCTTTATATTTCAAGGGAATTGTAAATGATTGTGGGGTTTTTCCGTATTTGGTTTCTTTATCGAAGAATGAACTCGTTCTCATTTCGGTGTGGAAGTTGTCTTTTTTTTTTGATAGACCGATAGAGAGAGAGAACAACTAGTGGGGTATTTTTAGGGAGAGCTACCGTTGTATGTGAACCAGAAAAGAGTGAAGTGCAGAAGGAAATGTTGCACCAGAAGATCTGTGTGTACATACGTAACACGCGTACCACTTTTGTGCTCATCTTTTGTGTATCTCTCGGCGCTGTACATACCAATCCTATTGTCATTGTGTTTTGTAGCTGTTTCATATTTTTTAAAGTCCATTTTTCCAAGTTCTTCATTCATAAATAATCCAAGTGTTTATTTTCTCGCCAAATCATGTCACGAAAGTTCTGGAGATGAGAATCTTTTGTTGTTGGTCTTCTGCCGAGACTAAAGCTTGGCATGTTTGATTAATTTCTTGTAAATATATCCTCCACACGGCTGCTCAGTTGTTTTTTTTACCCTTTTTTTTTCTTTAGGGGTTGGGGGGTGGGGTTGCTCTTTTTCAGGGTGGCTGACATCTAAGTCATTTGTCGTGCACTAGACTGTTCCGGGTGGGAATGTCTGTTGGGTTATGGAGGGGCAGCAGTTGGCCTGGTATTGTACATCTCTGTCTTCATGGAATGTTTTATTGTAATCTTGGCCAGCTGCAGTGTTGCTCATCTAGCATTTTCTTTTCTATGCTTTTTTTTTGACAGCTTAAAAAGTAAAAGGGAGATTTTTAAAAACAACTTGAAATTGTTTTAAGTTCAAAAGTGAGCCCCCCCCCCCTGCCACACCCCCACAGTTTTTCAGAAACTATTGGGAAAGGCATTTACAATTTATCTGTACATGTTATATTTTTGTCATAAAATTAGTTACAGCTTTTTTCTTTCTCTTTTTATTTATTAGATGTACATGTCGTTATTTCTGTTGTATTGTTTATTTTTATTTGTGCACAAGGAGGAAATGATTAAAAAGCCGTAATAAAGCAGTGGTGCTAAGTGTTCTTGTTCTGGTCAAGTTTTTGTTTGTGTGGTATGTGGGTCGTGAAGTTATGTGTGACTGTTGGAGTTGAAGGCATTTTGGAGGTGGTTGGCGGGTGTTCTGGTGTGGTTTGCTGGTCCTCTTTTTTCCTTCTTTTTGGTGTTTGTTTTCTCTCTTGTAACACCTTTGTTGGTGGTTGGCGGGTGCTCTGGTGTGGTTTGCTCCCTCTTTCCTATCAAACATCTCTCATCCTTGTCTCCCCTCCTTTTTTGTGTTTGTAACTCTCTAGTAACACCTAATTTTCAGCACTTATAAGACCTTATTGTGTTACAAGTACCGTAAAATTCTTACAAAAAATTGTAACACCTTTAATCTTTGGCATTTATTATAATTAATATAATACGACCTAATTGTGTTGCGTTGCAAGTGCCGTAAAACTTATTAAATTTTCGTGTCCCTGTTGAAGTTAAGGACATTAGGAAGGGTGAGTGGGTGGTTGGCGGGTGCTCTGGTGTGGTTTGCTCCTTCTTTCCTACCAAACATCTATCGTCCTTATCTCTCTCCTCCTTCTTTTTTTGTGTTTGTTACTCTCTTGTAACACCTCTAATCTTCGGCACTTATATGACCTTATTGTGTTGCAAGTGCCGTAAAACTCTTACTAAAACTAAACAAACTAAAGGAAGGGTGCTACTGAGGACTTGTTGCTGTTGTTTTGAGGTGGGTGGGTCAGCACCTGTGGTGGGTGGGTCAGCACCTGTGGTGGGTGGGTCAGCACCTGTGGTGGGTGGGTCAGCACCTGTGGTGGGTGGGTCAGCACCTGTGGTGAAGTGTGGAGTTGTGCACTTTGCAAAAAAGACCCGAGTTCGATTCCATGTTGGGAGAATTTGTATGGAGTATCTTGGTTGTTCTACCGAGACGTATCCTGTCCCAGACTCGGGTCCTAGTTTGCTATACTAGAACAACAGGCAGTATTGAGGCCTGCTTCCTAAATTATGTTAATTGGGTCGATGGAGGTGTAAAACTCCTACATCTTTAAAAAAACAACCAACAAATGGGTTGTTGCTGGGTGCCATTGGTAGGCTACATCATCCAACTCTTGACTTATCCTCAGTTCGTTTTGTTTGTCTTGCTTTCCCCAGCATTAAATCACAGCTGGGAATGGCCTAAAGACACTTCAGTCAGTAGCACAGCCCTGGTGGGGGTAGTTTTGTGGTATATTGATAATCATCATAAATGTTCCAAGTGAAAGAGCACGCAGCGAACCCTTTTGAAGTAATCCTTTCCTTTAGTTATTTCCCTTGAACTATAAGAATATTTTCAGCGTCACAGATCCGATATCGATATAAATGACCCCCCCCCCCCAAAGGCAACCCAAAAAACAACAAAAAGAAGAAAAAAACCCAAAACAAACAAACAAAAACTTGCTCATTTATGAATTTGCCAATGGTCAAGTTACTTTGCATGGCACCAACTCTCTGATGGTACCCTGTGGGCCAGCGACCAAACATAAACGATTTCTTAAATAAAAAATCTTGATCTACGTACAACATGGTAGGCACACATGATCAGTACAATGAACGATTTACAATATTATAATTCTAACCTACAAACTGCTCAATTTGAGACCATAATCAATTACATGTACCTATCTATCTATCGACCTTTTCATCATATAATTATATAAAGCAGGTTTCTGGTTACTCTGCAGACACATTAACAGCTTGACAGCAATCCCTCACAAGATCTTCACACGACTTCTGGTCCCACCACGGTCTTGCAGAATCACAATTCTATGGCTACAACTAGTACAACACGCTTGCTCAGAAGCAAAAAGGTTTCATCTGTAACGTTAACGTATCGCAGATGGAACTTTTTTGCCTCCCAGGGTGCGACATCTACTCTGCTTCTGCTGATGCTGGCTAAAGATAAGAAAGAGGAACGTACATGTACGCTTAGACATTCACAGCACAGCACAAGGTCAAGAATTTTCTTATTTCTCTAGTAAACATACGAGCGTAATTCAGATATGTATATTATGTATCATATAAGAATGTCATTTTCCCCATTCTCCACCTTTTCTTATACTTATACACAGACGCTACCAAGTCAAAATCTGTCTTGTTCTCTCTCTCTCTCTCTCTCTCTCTCTCTCTCTCTGTCTGTCTGTCTGTCTGTCTGTCTGTCTGTCTGTCTGTCTGTCTGTCTCTCTCTCTCCACACACACACACACACACACACACACACACACACACACACACACACACACACACACACACACACACACACACACACACACACACACACATGCACACAACACGACACATCCTGTACGACAATCCAGGCTTGACCACTAGTCTTGCCACTGTGACAGACAGGGTGTGTAGGCGAGGCTTGACCACTGGTCAGTGTGTGTGACGAGGCCCGGCTGTCGTCATGTGGAGTGTAGGAGTGCCAGGAATGGCGCTATTTTCTCTTGGCCTTCTCGGACATTTTGCTCTCAGTAAGTGGCGCTGCCGCTGTATAATATGTGAGGCGTACTGACACAATGACTTACTTCTCAGATACTAGCCATAAGGACAAAGATACATCACATTTTTTCCGGTTGAGTTTATACAATATATTTGTATGAAATGATAAAAGAAATATCAAACTTAAAGAAAATGGCATCCGTTAATGACCTACAAATTTGACCCCTGTGCCGATTTTTGTCCCGTATCTCTATCATTGGACTGCGAGAAATAACTCATTTTGTCACCATACTTCACATATGTAGATATTTTACGACCCCATCGATACAATTTAGATCGCTGAAGAGGAAGCGGGCTGCTTCGATCCTGCATGTCAGGGTCAAATCCGGCTAAGAAGGCTACAGCATTTCAGCAGAAAGACTGAGACACTCAAAGATTTAAAAACTCCTTAGAACCCCCCCCCCCCCCCCCCCACCCCATAACGAAAATCGAACTCATGTCTCTTGCGTGCGATGACGCGACACCTTACAGCTACTCTCACAGACGAACGTGGAGGAAGTGGCATCAGGTACTCAGCGTCAGCGTCTGTGGTGTAGCAGTTAGGCACTTATCCGTCGCATGCAGGAGCTCGAGTTCGATTCCCGAGTGGGGAAAGGGGGGGGGGGGAGAATTAAAACTTCTATCAAGTATCTCGGTGTGACTGCTGAGATGTTGCAGCTTTCTCAGACCAAATTGGTCCTGACAGGCTCGGTCGAAGAAGCCCGCCTCCTAAATGGTTTAAATTTTGTCTATAGGGGCGTAAAACACACATCATATATGATATATATTATGTATTTAGATATAGGGTGAGAGATAGTAAGAAGATAGATAGATAGATAGATAGATAGTCAAAAGATAGATAGATAGATAGATAGATAGATAGATAGATAGTCAAAAGATAGATAGATAGATAGATAGATAGATAGATAGATAGATAGATAGATAGATAGATAGATAGATAGATAGAGAAAGACAGATAAATAGATAGATAGATACATGTAGGTAGATAGATAGATGGATAGATAGATAGATAGATAGATAGATAGATAGATAGATAGATAGATAGATAGATAGCAACTTCACTTTAATCGTCTTAATAGACTGTTAAGCTGCCGAGCGAATATTTTTTAAAACAGAAGCCCAGACAAATTAACAAAGAGGAAGACTATAGCAGAGAGGTATGAATACTCGGTAACACAGAATGGCACACAGACTTTACTAAGAACAAACCACAAAGCCCTGACAGAAACCAACGGTTCCCTTCTAGAATTCGAACATTCCAGATATATATGTATATAATATGACGAGCATCATGAAATATAAAACCTTGGCTAAGAGACACGAATGGAGCAGCGCATTGCAGGGCCGGAAGACTGACACACAGAGACATGGAATTATGTAACAAAAGATTCCTTATCTGCGACATCGTGTCAAAAGTGTCTTGAGGACAATAGGATCGACAACAGTGAACCCTTTTGCTGATTTGGTTGAAGAAAGAACTTTCCCAAGCAAACATGTATGAAGGACTGTAACTTGTTCACCATTTGCTTTGTTACTTTTCATGTTTCCAATCCATACAGCAATACACTTTTTATATATTTGTATTTGAAATCCTGATCTTCGTACTTGTCTGGATATCTGCGGTTTGCGTCAATCAAAAGAGTATATTATTATTGTGTATGCAAGTTCATTAACTCAAGTTGATATGAAGGTATTTAAAATCATTAATAGCTGTACTGTGCGGGAGAGGACATTATATAGATATCATCGTCATCTTTCTTACTTCTTCTTCTTCTTCTTTTTCTTCTTCTTCTTCTTCTTCTTCTTGTTCTTCTTGTTCTTCTTCTTCTTCTTCTTCTTCTTGTTCTTCTTGTTCTTCTTCTTCTTCTTCTTCTTCTTCTTCTTCTTCTTCTTCTTCTTCTTCTTCTTCTTCTTCTTCTTCTTCTTCTTCTTCTTCTTCTT